CAACTACTCACACGAAGGGTCGATTGGTGCCGATGGTGCTCGAGGTAACAGCCCACACCAAGGCCTGGCAGTGTCGATGGTGTTCGAGGCAACCACCGGCACCAAGGCTCTGCATGTGCCGATGGTGGTTGAGGCAACCGCTTGCACCACGGCCCAGCATATGCCAATGGTGTTCGATGTAACTGCCCGCACCAAGGGTCATCTTGTGCCGATGGTGGTCGAGGCAACCGTCCGTACCAAGGGTCGGCTTATACCGATGGTGGTTGAGGCAACCGCCTGCACCAAGGGTCGTCATGTGCCAATGGTGATCAAGGCAACCGCCCACACCAGGGCCCAGCTTGTGCCGATGGTGATTGAGGTAAGTGCCCATACCAAAGGCTAGCCTGTGCCGATAATGGTCGATGCATGTGCCATTACCATGCGTCATCATATGCCATTGATGGTCGAGGCCTTGGCCAAAGTTCGATTTTGAGCCACGGTGCACATGCTAGGCTCGACCATGTGTTGGTGTTGCATTTTTTTCGCCCGGGGCACCATCGTCGGAGCATCGTCGGAGAACCTGACTGGCAGTATTGGGGGTTTCGACGATTAGGGGGCGGGGGGGTGTACGCACATGATGTGCGATGGATGCTGGTACTTGGCCCTTATATTGGCCCCATATCCCTCATCAAACCTAGAGAGCTCACACCCCCTTAAAGAGCATTTGAGATTTTATAGGTTTGCTACCAGTAGCCATTCAAGTGTCTAAAATGGGGACACTTTTTTCAAATGGTCACAAAATCTTCTCCACTTCGAGTTTTTAGCTGAAATTTTTTGTGCATGCCAACAAAAATACAAGGATCACATCTACAAAATTTGGGGCCAAAACGTCTTCTAAAAAAATTTTAAAAAATCCCGAACTGTAAAAAGTTTCAAAAATCATGAAAAATAGAAAACAAGTCGTCTTGTCACGAAACTTCACATGAAGGCTTATGGGACCATTGTATGAATTTACAAGACATAAAAATGGCATTGGCATAGTAGAAATATGAAGATGTGCCTAAACCCACCTACCATCCGATCGATCCACGACTTGCGCATCCTGCCTCTCTGGCCGACATAGTGCCCGTCCGCTCATTTTGTAGGTTGACTTAGGCATACGAAGTTCATTCCTAGTCTATGATTAGATCAGACTGAGGGTTTCATTAGCAGGACCGACAACGGGATCGACAGCACGCAGAGGGGGGCTAGATCGATCCCCGACTTACGCATTCTACCTCTCTGGCCGACTGAGCTCCCGCATGCTCGTTTCGTGGGTTGACTTAGGCATACGGAGTTCATTCCCAGCCTAAGCATATAAAGTTCATTCCTAGTCTAAGCATATGGACCAGACTGAAGGTTGCAATAGTAGGACTAGCAATAGGATTAGTAGCACGTGGGGGGATTGAGTTGATCCTCGGCTTACGCATTCTGCCTCTCTGGTTGGCTGAGTGACTGCACGCTCATTTCATGTGTTGGCTTAGGGATACAGAGTTCATTCCATGTCTAAGTCCTAGTTGGACCGAGGGTTGTGGCAGTAGGATCGACAACGGGATTGACAACACGCAGAGGAGGATCGAGCCGATCCCTGGCTTATGCATTATGCCTCTCTGGCTAGCTCAGCGCACGCACGCTCGTTTCATGGGTTGACTTAGGCATATAGAGTTCATTCCCTGTCTAAGCATACAGAGTTCATTCCCAATCTAAGATCAGACTGACAGTAGGATCGACAGCAGCACGCAGAAGGGGACCAGGCCGATCCTTGGCTTGCTTATCCTGCCTCTCTGACCGACTGAGTGCCCGTATGCTAGTTTCGTGGGTTGACTTAGGCATACGGAGTTCATTCCTGGTCTAAGCACCAATCAGATAGAGGGACCTGTAGCGGGATCGATAGCACGCAGAGGAGGATCGGGTCGATCTTCAGCTTGCGCAGTCTGGCTCTCTGGTCGGTTGAGCTCCTGCACGATCGTTTCGTAGGTTGACTTAGGCATACGTAGTGCATTCTCGGTCTCGACCAACCAAGGGCCAAAGGCTATCGACGGCATTTGGGCTAACAACCGAGGGGGACCAGCAGCGGGATCCTTGGTTGGCTCCCGCATCCTGCCCCCAGCGGTTGGTTTGGTACCAAAACAAAAATTCGAGGGTCGATCGAGGCGAGTAAAATTCATTCTCGATCAAGACGGGGGGCTCCGGGTCACGTCGAACCCTGGAAGGGGGGGTGAAAAAAAGGAAGGTCGACGGGGGGAGGGACGAATCGAAGCGACAAAAGGGTTGAATCTCAGTGGATTGTGGCAACAAGGCCACTCTGCCACTTACAATACCCCGTCGCATATTTAAGTCATCTGCAAAGGATTTTACCCATCTTTCGATGGGAATTAAGCTCTAAGGAGGCCCGCGTAGCTTGTTCACTACGGGGGCTACACCTATGACACGTGCCCTTGGGGGCCATGGGCCCTTACTGTGGGTCGACAATCGGGCAACG